AGTAATGAATGAATAGTAATGAATGTAATAAAGGGAAAGCTCCATATACAGAATCCGATATCCGAAGCTGATCCAGAGGAAGGCAGAAACCCCCATAGTCTGGAACCCGGTGCGATTTCCAGAAGGGAATTTTCCGGCCGGTGCCCCACTGTTCCCCTTCCTGTGGTTTCCTCTACATAAAGCTTTGATTCCCGGTTGGTGATCTCCGGCGGTTCTGCGTGGGCGGAGCCGCGTTTTTCGCTCTGGTCGGGGACGGAGGGGAGATATTTGCGTCGGGTCCTTCGTGGGCGGAGCTGCGTTTTTCGCTCTGGTCGGGGACGGAGGGGAGATATTTGCGGCGGGTCCTTCGTGGGCGGAGCTGCGTTTTTTCGCTCTGGTCGGGGACGGAGGGGAGATATTTGCGGCGGGTCCTTCGTGGGCGGAGCTGCGTTTTTCGCTCTGGTCGGGACGGAGGGGAGATATTTGCGGCGGGTCCTTCGTGGGCGGAGCTGCGTTTTTCGCTCTGGTCGGGGACGGAGGGGAGATATTTGCGGCGGGTCCTTCGTGGGCGGAGCTGCGTTTTTCGCTCTGGTCGGGGACGGAGGGGAGATATTTGCGGCGGGTCCTTCGTGGGCGGAGCCGCGTTTTTCGCTCTGGTCGGGGACGGAGGGGAGATATTTGCGTCTGGTCCTGCGGAGATAGATAATTGTTTCACGAATCCACCCGCGAATGGCTGCCGAGATAAATGGCACGACGTGGGGGGAGGGGGGCTCATACACGCCCTGCGCCCAACATTCGCCAACGAGGCACATTATTAGCTTTCTAATACCCCCAACACAGGATCCCCTCCCCCGCCGCCGGATTGATTCTCTCCTCAAAGGCGGCGGCCTGCAGATGAATTTTGTGGGTGACGCCAGATGAGAGCCAATCAATCAGAGCCAAACCTCGCTGACACGTGTGCGCTTGTGGTGTACACGCGTGTTCTGTGTAACCGCTTCTTGTATCCATTTCTGCTTCATGTACATTTTATGGGACAACTCCGGGCAACAATGTATCACTTCTGATAATGTCACAACCTGAAATCAGGACAATGATGAGGAGTGCCGCCGGCGGGGTCTGAAGGTTGAGATCAGGCTGGCGGTGATGGGGGATGGGTACTTAAAGGAGAGAACCGCAGACAAGAGACCCGGGGTGGAAGTCCTGTTTATTGGCAGCCTGACTGGAGTGTGAGAGGATTTTCAGGAACGATCCACCTTTAGCTTTAAAATTCGTCCCTGAGCTCCAGTTGGTGACTTTGCCTAGGCTGTGATGATGTCATCAGGCAGGAGGAAGCATCTCCTCAGTCTCCTCCCCCAGTGATCAGACTGTACATTGTAACTTTATAGAAGGAGGAGGAGGCATTTCCTCAGTCTCCTCCCCCAGTGATCAGACTGTACATTGTAACTTTGTAGAAGGAGGAGGCATTTCCTCAGTCTCCCCCAGCGATCAGACTGTACATTGTAACTTTGTAGAAGGAGGAGGAGGCATTTCCTCAGTCTCCCCCAGCGATCAGACTGTACATTGTAACTTTGTAGAAGGAGTCATTTCCTCAGCCCCCTCCCCTCCCCCAGTGATCAGGCTGTACATTGTAACTTTGTAGAAGGAGGAGGAGGCATTTCCTCAGTCTCCCCTCCCCCAGCGATCAGATTGTACATTGTAACTTTGTAGTAGGAGGAAGTCTATACAAATACACTGGGTGGAGTCATGCAGTAGTGGCAGTTAAGTGGGAGGGACAGTGTAGTGCAGTAGGTGGCGCCATTGAGCATGCACAAAAGATTGGGGTCAGGAGAGGTGTGCAGAGGGAGGAGTCAGCGGGGCCAGGTACTGGTCCAGTAGGCGGAGCCCAGACTTCTGAAATTCCGCAGCGATCTCTTCCTATGAAGGTGGCGCCCCCAATGGCCCAATGTTATGCCGGTTTATTTAAGTCCAGTTCATTCATTTTGGCTGATTTGCGGTTTTCTGGAAACCAGTCGGGTGATGGAGGGGGGGGGGGGGGGCAGGGTGATGAGGGGGGGAGGGGGGGCAGGGTGATGAGGGGGGGGGGCAGGCCATCCTCCGGCTGTGAAAATGGGTCACATTTACAGCTCTGACAACGCGGCAACTTTACACGCCGTCGCACAGCGATGGAGCTGTAGGTGAGCGTTGTGCGGAGCGCTGGCCTCGTTCGGTACGCCGGAGGAATCTCCCCTCCCGGTCACATGGCTGCGATTTGGGAATTGCGATTTGAGTCGCAGCAATTAAGCTGGAACCCGTAGAAATGAACATTTTTCCTTTTCTTAGGACTTTCGGTGTCGTAAATCGCAGCAAGTCACCCCAGAAATTGCAGAGGGGCCAAGTCCCCATCCACAGAGGCCGGTGCGAATCGTCTGATTCCTGCTGATCGTCTAGGTGCCGCCGCCCCTGTTCACAGTAATGACGGGGTGCCGGCGGCCGCAGCTATTAGCGACTGTCGGCGCAGCCACCGATCGCCGCTCACAGCCGCAGCAGGAATCACGAGGTACTCGTCGCTGCAAAATCGCAGGTGCGAATGTAGCCTCACCGGCGGCCAATCCATCACCGAAGAGGTTAACAAGCATGTCAATTGGCTAGCCAGCTGGGTCCTCGCCCCTCAGAATCCCTGCTCGGACGGCTCGCTGGTTACCATGGCGTCGCGCCATTTTCAGATCGCCAAGTAGGTCTACAGAACACATCCCCACAGGTTATGGGGAAAGAGGGAGTCGTTCTGTAGTCTTGTCCTAGGGTGACAACGCCGCTCCTCCGTACAGTGCGGTGAGTAAGCGTTGTCACCCTGGGACAGGAAGTGCGTTACTAGTGACAAGAGAAAATGAATGCAGCCAGCACATCTCGGGATACATTGTTACATTTTTCTTCTTGGGTTTAGATTCATTGTAACAACTTTGTAATAAAAATATAATTCCCCTCAAAGACTTGGTTTGCACTACTGTGACCCCCAAAGTTGTGCGGCTTCCATCGCATAATCGATGTGACTTTCATGCGACTTTGGCTTTAAAAAAACCCCTCTGAAGTCGCAAGAGTCGCAAAGATATGACTTTCTTGGGACTTTTTTTAACACTCACGTCACACCAAAGACGCACAAAAGTAGCGCAGGGATTCATTTTTTTGTTATTAAGCTGGAAGCCATTGAAATGAACGTTTTTCCTTGTCTTAGGACTTTCGGTGTCGTAGATCGCAGCAAGTCGCCCCAAAAAATCACGTCACCGGCGGCTGGTCCATCACCGAAGAGGTTAACAAGCGTGTCAATTGGCGAGCCAGCCGGGTCCTCGTCCCTCAGAATTCCTGCTCGGAATGCTCTCTGGTTACCATGGCGTCGCGCCATTTTTAGATCGCCAAGTAGGTCTACAGAACACATCCCCGCAGGTTATGGGGAAAGAGGGAGTCGTTCTGTAGTCTTGTCCTAGGGTGACAACGCCGCTCCTCCCTACAGTGCGGTGAGTAAGCGTAGTCACCCTGGGACAGGAAGTGCGTTACTAGTGAAAAGAGAAAATGAATGCAGCCAGCCTGCAAAATCGCAGGTGTGAACGTAGCCTCACCGGCGGCCGATCCATCACCGAAGAGGTTAACAAGCGTGCAGGGGCGGACTGACAACTCATGGGGCCCCTGGGCAATAGGGGATCATGGGGCCCCTATGTCCTTGCCCAAACTCAAAAAAGCCTATGAAAAAGGTACCAGGGGCATCTCATGGGGCCCCCTACTGACCCCGGGCCATTGGGCAGTGCCTGAGTGTCCAAATGGTCAGTCCGCCCCTGCGAAGTGTCAATTGGCAAGCCAGCCGGGTCCTCGGCCCTCAGAATTCCTGCCCGTACGGCTCGCTGGTTACCGTGGCGTCACGCAATAAATCACGCCTCGTTATTACCCGTCGTCGCGGGCTTTTTGGCGACCTCCGTAATTCGATTTGCATTCGGGGTCACGCGTTAAAAGCACCGTCGCGCGCTCGCTGCAAGGTTTTCGTTCGCCGGAGAAGAGGAAAAGCGCGCGATTAAAAAGAATAATAAAATAAATACCTCGTCAGTTTTTTTTTTTCCGCTACTTTCACGCGTTCCGCCTTCTAAAGCGCCTCTGACGTTTCCGCGTCCCGGCCTCTTTCTGCATTATTGAGCAGCTTGTAAAACGTCTTTCTAAACATGGATGGAACGAGAGCGGCGAGGGACGGCGGCGTGGAAGAGGCCCCCCCCCAGTTGCCATGGCGACGCAAACTGATCAATTTCCTGTCACTGTTTTTTTTTTTTAAAAGAGGCGCTCTCCTGTGGCCATAAATACTAATTAGGAATGCGGGGCCTTTCGCTAAACACGTTCGTTTTACAGATTAAAGGCGTTCATGCCTAATTTATCATTTCGCGCGTGCGTCCGCGTCCACCCACATTCGTCGCTCGCAGAGTGGTGAATAATCGCCGGCCTTGTTTACAGAATCTTCAACTTAACTTGGCTAATTAGGCCGAGCGTTTGAAGAGGAGCGCGGGGGTTTTTTTTTTTTTTTTTTTGGCCTTTGTGTGAACTGGAGTGAACGCCTGACCTCCGGGGCGGGCGGCGGGCAAGAATCGTTGATTTTAAAGAATGGCGCTGGATTATGGAGTTCTGATACGTTTTACTTTTTTTTTTTTTTTTTTGAAACTTTGAAATTGAAAAAGCCCAACCTGGTGGAAATTCATGTATGTGAACTGGTGTACATGGGATTCTGTTCAGCCGGTCTTGTGATTTGTATCAATCTGGCCATATACCTTCCAGTCTGTACTATCCCTTTAAATTTAAAGCTGACCTCCAGCCTCCCCCTCAGTCTTGCATAGGTGTACTGGCTCCTCCCCTCAGTCTTGCGCAGGTGTACTGGCTCCTCCCCTCAGTCTTGCGCAGGTGTACTGGCTCCTCCCCTCAGTCTTGCGCAGGTGTACTGGCTCCTCCCCTCAGTCTTGCGCAGGTGTACTGGCTCCTCCCCTCAGTCTTGCGCAGGTGTACTGGCTCCTCCCCTCAGTCTTGCGCAGGTGTACTGGCTCCTCCCCTCAGTCTTGCGCAGGTGTACTGGCTCCTCCCCTCAGTCTTGCGCAGGTGTACTGGCTCCTCCCCTCAGTCTTGCGCAGGTGTACTGGCTCCTCCCCTCAGTCTTGCGCAGGTGTACTGGCTCCTCCCCTCAGTCTTGCGCAGGTGTACTGGCTCCTCCCCTCAGTCTTGCGCAGGTGTACTGGCTCCTCCCCTCAGTCTTGCGCAGGTGTACCGGCTCCTCCCCTCAGTCTTGCGCAGGTGTACCGGCTCCTCCCCTCAGTCTTGCGCAGGTGTGCCGGCTCCTCCCCTCAGTCTTGCGCAGGTGTGCCGGCTCCTCCCCTCAGTCTTGCGCAGGTGTGCCGGCTCCTCCCCTCAGTCTTGCGCAGGTGTGCCGGCTCCTCCCCTCAGTCTTGCTCAGCTGTGCCGGCTCCTCCCCTCAGTCTTGCGCAGCTGTGCCGGCTCCTCCCTATCAGTCTTGCGCAGCTGTGCCGGCTCCTCCCCTCAGTCTTGCGCAGCTGTGCCGGCTCCTCCCTATCAGTCTTGCGCAGCTGTGCCGGCTCCTCCCTATCAGTCTTGCGCAGCTGTGCCGGCTCCTCCCCTATCAGTCTTGCGCAGCTGTGCCGGCTCCTCCCCTATCAGTCTTGCGCAGCTGTGCCGGCTCCTCCCCTATCAGTCTTGCGCAGCTGTGCCGGCTCCTCCCCTATCAGTCTTGCGCAGCTGTGCCGGCTCCTCCCCTATCAGTCTTGCGCAGCTGTGCCGGCTCCTCCCCTTCAGTCTTGCACAGGTGCACCGGCTCCTCCCCTGGACTGAAATGGAAATTTCACTGCACACTGGGAGCTTCTCACAATGTGCATTAGAAACTGCAACAAGTCAGAGCTCCGCCTCCTTTCCTGGCTGGAAGACGCCCAGCACCATCTAGACTTTCCTGCTCATCCTGCCTGTCTCTGACTCCGCCCCTTTCATTAATTGGATCTCAGTACAGCAATCTACCTGCCCCTCCCACCAGCCATGATCTGCCTTCACTACCTAAAGAAGCACAGAGGCTTGACTAAAATAATGGAAACAGGATTTATTTAAAAAAATTTAATCATTATGCTAATGGGTGGGGGGGGGCGGTAATATAAACAGATTAAACTTCAGCTGAAACATGAGATTTTAGCGGTCGCAATTGAAGAAACGGTCTGTTTTCTGGAGTAGTTGTGCTGATAAGCCGGCGATATTTTTGGATTTGTTCCCAAACCGTTTTACTTCTCCTGACGAGTGTAACAAAGAATTTCCCGATCCTCCAACAGCTGATAAGAAAACAAAGTATCAGAGGATTTCCCATTAGAGACCATCCATCCCGAGCTTCAGATGTCCCCGCCTGTAGGGTCCCGCCCCCTCCCTGGGAGCCCCCCTTAAAGTATAACCAAAGGCAAAACTTTTTTTTTTTTCCTAACAGTGTAGAGGAGGATCAGACCCACTGTCACTCGAAGGGCTCATTCACACTCGTGGTAACACCCCACAGCTGAGCGCCATTTTACTATTCCCCCCCCCCAACAGCTCCCCAATTAACTGCAAAGGGGACAAAGGGGCGGGTAGGCACCTGCCCTGGGAGGTTGCCCTACTGAGTTGCCCGCTTATCCTGCTCCTTACTGACAAGAATGCCTGCAGTGTCACTCCTGTCAGAAGGAGCAGCAGCCGATAGCTGCTCCTGGAGGGGGGATTCGGCTGGCACTGAGACACCGAACTATCCTCAGTCTCGGCACGGCACTGCTGAGGAATGAGGGCAGAATGTGCTCTTCTCCCTCTCTCTCCCCGTCATGTGACATGTAACATGGCCAGAGAGAGAAAGGGGATGCTGCCTTCTTTCCATGAGTACCGATCTGCCAGTACTACGGGGGAAAGTGGGGGGAGGCAAATGAAGCATGGGGACACCTGATACAATTGGGGACACCTTATGTAAAGGGGAACGCTATTGGGGACACCTGATGTATAGGGGGCTCTACTGGGGACACCTGATGTAAAGGGGGACTCTATTGGGGACACCTGATGTAAAGGAGGGCTCTATTGGGGAAACCTTATGTAAAGGGGGACTCTATTGGGGACACCTGATGGAATGGGAGACTCTGTTGAGGACACCCGATGTAAAGGGGGGCTCAGCTGGCGACACCTGATGTAAAGGAGGGCTCTATTGGGGACACCTTATGTATAGGGGGCTCTACTGGGGACACCTGATGTAAAGGGGGACTCTATTGGGGACACCTGATGTAAAGGGGGACTCTATTGGGGACACCTGATGGAATGGGAGACTCTGTTGAGGACACCCGATGTAAAGGGGGGCTCAGCTGGCGACACCTGATGTAAAGGAGGGCTCTTTTGGAGAAACCTGATGTATAGGGGGCTCTACTGGGGACACCTGATGGAAAGGGAGACTCTGTAGGGGACACCTAATGGAAAGGGGGGCTTGGTTGGGGTCACCTGATGGAAAGGGGGGCTTGGTTGGGGACACCTGATGTAAAGGGAGGCTTGGTTGGGGACACCTGATGTATAGGGGGCTCTACTGGGGACACCTGACGTAAAGGAGGACTCTATTGGGGGCACCTGATGTAAAGGGAGCGCTACTGGGGGCACCTGATGTAAAGGGAGCTCTATTGGGCGCACCTGATGGAAAGGGAGACTCTTTTGGGGATACCTGATGGAAAGGGGGGCTCTGATGGGGGCACCTGATGGAAAGGGGGGCTCTATTGGGGGCACCTGATGTAAAGGGGGCTCTAATGGGAGCATCTGATGTAAAGGGGGACTCTACTGGGTACTTCTTTTGCCGCGAGTGGGGATGCACAATTTGGGTGCCTTTTGACCTTCCCCCATCACTGTTTGCAGCCATGGCAGGAATGATGACCCTATCACTTTCAGGGGGCGTAGCACCCACCGAGAACGGCCCATTAAAGTAAGATTAACTTTCCTCCACTGAATCATAGCAACACCAAAGTCCCAGAACTGGAACTTCCTTCTTTCCAGAATAACGGATGGTACGTTGTATCTTGCACTAGCAGGTTGACTGATTTCTCCTCTACACCCCATCATTGGTTTTACAAATGTGCAAAGGAGCTTACGCTAGTGGTCAGAAGATCAGAAGACGTTCTGGGCCATGTGAGCGGATCCCGGGAGCAGAAGATCAGAAGACGTTCTGGGCCATGTGAGCGGATCCCGGGAGCAGAAGATCAGAGAATGTTCTGGGCCATGTGAGCGGATCCCGGGAGCAGAAGATCAGAAGACGTTCTGGGCCATGTGAGCGGATCCCGGGAGCAGAAGATCAGAGAATGTTCTGGGCCATGTGAGCGGATCCCGGGAGCAGAAGATCAGAAGACGTTCTGGGCCATGTGAGCGGATCCCGGGAGCAGAAGATCAGAAGACGTTCTGGACCATGTGAGCGGATCCCGGGAGCAGAAGATCAGAGAATGTTTTAGGCCAGGGATGGGCAACTGTGGCCCTCCAGCTGTTGGTGAACTACAAGTCCCATCATGCCTCTGCCTTTGGGAGTCATGCTTGTAACTATCAGTTTTGCAATGCCTCATTGGACTTGTAGTTCTACAACAGCTGGAGGGCCACAGTTGCCCACCCCTGTTCTGGGCCATGTGAGCGGTTCCCGGGAGCAGAAGATCAGTGAGCAGGCACAAGAGCTCCTGTACCGAGCAGCTGCCACCCGGGCACTCTGGGGACGTGGTGTGCCATGGAACAGGCGGCACTCACAGGTGGTGCCATTGCTCCGAGCCCCCCAGCCCTCTGTCTGCAGCAGGATCTTTACGTCATCACGGTGTCAAGGTTAAGGCTTCGCTGCCTTTCATTCAAAGGGAAATGTGGTGAGCTGAGGGGGGGTGAATCGTAATGTGAGCGCCAAGGGTGGTGAGGAACACAAACTGCGCCGAAGAGCGCCAGATCTGTCCAGGAGGCAAGAAAGGAGCTCGTGATTAAGGATGAGTGAAATCAGGAGTTGTCACCTCGCTGAGATATTGGTGGAAATGTAGACACTTCAGCCAAATGCATTGAAGTCATTGGAGTTGAGGGGAAGATGGAATGAAAGCTGAACTCTGAGGAAAGCTGGCTTCCTCCCGCACTGCGAGGGGTAAATGTTTAAGTCTAGGGTACCTTTTAGTGCAGTTTTGCTTACCTTCTCCCTCTCTTCCACATGCTTCCTCCTCTGCTTGGGACTGGTCCGTCTGGGCCACTTCTTTTTTTGGCTCTCTGCTTGGCCCTCCCCACTGCCGGGGTAGTTGTGTATTTTCCCTGGAATGGTGGAAGTGATTTGTGGTAGTTTTTCACAATGGGCTTTAAATGTCCTCTGAGAGACAGAGTAGCTCTTTCCATCTGTCCTGGAACTGTTCTTGTGAAGAAAAAGTAGACCCTAAACTTTGACCCTTAACCCTAATGCTAATCTGAACCTGAACCCTAAACCTGATCCTTGCACTGACCCCAACAGCATTACTAACGTCAACTCCAGCTATAACTCCTATAATTCTAACTCTAAATCTGTCCCCAATGCCAACCTGAATCCCAACCCTGGCATGGACTCCGGCCCTTGGCATGGACTCCGGCCCTTGGCATGGACTCCGGCCCTTGGCATGGACTCCGGCCCTTGGCATGGACTCCAACCTTATCCCTAGTACTAACCCTAATGTTAAGTCCATCTCTATCCTTCATACTAACCTTGATAACCCAAATGCCCCTTTACGGATGAAAAATGGACCCCCATATATTTCTCTGGACTATCAGATGTAAGTGGATGATCATCTGCTTACATCCGGTAATGCCCACATCCTTACTTTTGAATGGAATAAAACCCTATTTTTCTTCCGTCAAAAAACAAAAACACAGAACAGACAAAAAATGGATGTAAACAGATGAAAAAATGGATGTAAACAGATGAAAAAATGGATGTAAACAGATGATAAAATGGATGTAAACAGATAAAAAAAAATCTGTTTTTGCTTGGAAAAATCGTGACTTGAACTGATGAAAAAAATAGAACGCCCATGTGAAAGGGGCCCCTTTCACACAAGCATTCCGTGTATCCGTTTTTCATCTGTCCATTTACGGATGAGTAACGGACACTCTTCTATTTCTGTGGACTAGCGGATGTAAGCGGATGATCATCTGTTTCCATCCGTTAATGTCCACATCTGTTAAAAATAGGGTTTTCTTCCATTCAATACAATGGATGTTAACGTGTGCGGACGTTAACGGATGTAAACAGATGATCATCCGTTTACATCCGCTAGTCCATAGAAATACATGGGTGTCCGTTTTTTATCTGTAAACGGACAGATGAAAAACAGCCTTAGGCCCCTTTCTCATGGGCATTCCGTTTTTTTTTTTTTCCATCAGTTCAGTCACTGTTTTTCCAAGTAAAAATGGATCAGTTTACATCCGTTTTTCATCAGTTTCCGTCCATTTCCATCCGTGTGGTGTTTTTTTTTTTTTTTTTTTTTTTTACGGAAGAAAAATAGGGTTTTCTTCCATTACAAAAAAATGTATGTTAACGGATGTAAACAGATGATCATCCATTTACATCAGCTAGTCCATAGAAATACATGGGGGTCCGTTTTACATCTGTATCCAGACAAAAACAGCCCTAATGCTGATACTAATCTTAACTCTAGCACTATCCCCAATGACGATCGTACTCAACTCTAGCACTAGCCCTAATGCTGATCCTACTCTAGCACTAGCCCTAATGCTGATATTAATCTTGATAATTCTATCCATAAAACTAACCATAATTCTAGCCCTAATGTCAA